AAAATGAATACTCAAAATGCAAAACCCATGAATTCAAAATGAAAAACGAAAAATTGAAACACGAAGAGAACATCCCCTATTTTTTTCCCAACCGGTGCAAGCATACTTAAGAAACCACCAATTGCCGAGTGTAAATTGCCTTGCAGCCCAGAGGAACTCTACTCCGATCTAGACAAGTAGACAATGTATCTTTTTCCTTGAAGAGAATTTTTCTCGTATGATTTTAATGAGATGTATTATTTATATAATCAATATTCATAAATTACAAGACATTTATTCTCAAATTAATACTCTTATACATTACGCGAAACTCTTGAAGAGAACAAGAAGATCTGTTTTTTTATTGAACCATCATATTACTACAATTATCAAAGATTGATAAATATTCTAGAAGAAGATCATATTGTTTGAAAGTCATAACAAGATAACATGAAATATATTGTGATATTGAAGACATTGACGTGAAAACTCGATACAAGAATTTTTATCAATTGAAATCAAGGAGAGTATTTGTGCTCTTTTTTCTTCACTTAATATTTTGTCCCATTTAATTTTCTTGACAATGTTTCAACGATGCAACATTTTATAAATCATTGGACTTTTTTTTCCCCATAATTTGCTATGTTTATCACATTGAATTTTTGCCACGCTAGATCTTTTACAAGACAACTATTGTGCAAATAATTATCAAGGGGGAGTGTTACGAAATTAATTTGATAATTATTGATGACTATTTAGAGTTATCGAAATATTTAGATAAACCTTACTATTATGTTCAAATAATAAATCATATTGATATCCTATGTGTAGGAGTTATTGTTACAATGAAATATACACTCAGAAACTTGAATTATTACTTCTTTTCTCCTCCTTATTCTAAAAATGTATTTGTTTTTTTTTCTCGAACATTCTCTACTTTTATATGAAGGTGTAATAGTTAGACAACATTCGCCAATAAAATAATATTATACGTAAATTCAAAACTTTTTAACCACACATTCTTAAAAAAACACTATTCTAAAAATTATAATTTCAAATGATGGGGGTCAAACTGTAATTTAATAGGATAATAATGTTGAAAATCCTAGTAAATGTTCGCTCAAAAAATGAAAAACCCTCATAAGTGCTAATAATATTTTAGGGGGAAAATTTGTAGATTTGCATATAACATGAAATCAAATGATGGAATTAATATAATTTAATGTGGGTTAGGTAGTTAGGGTTGGTTTATTAATGATGATTCATAACAATTATTTAAGGCAGCGGTTAGGTGGTATTGAATTAAATTTTTTCAAATGTTATTGTCTTGTTAATTAAGAATTTCTATTATTTTAATTTTTAACAGTCCGCAAAACATTTTGCCAGAAGAAAACTTTCAATTAGGCTCAAATGGGAATTTTTTTCTAAATAGCCTAGTTTAGGATGACCACAATAAATTAGGTCTAATTATTAATTTTGAGTTAAAATAAAAAAGAAGATCCCTATTACCATTATAAGGTCCCAAATCTTTCAAAATTGTGATCAAATGTCATCAAAGGCACGTTAGTTGATTAAAGTCAGTGTTTGACCATAATTTGACCAATTTTAAAATGGTAAAAAGAAAAAAAGAAAATTTGCATTGGAGATTCAAAACCTTTAAATATGTGCAACAGATGACGAGCCAGCTGTACATTACGTAAGGAACGAACTGAACAGACGCCAGCAAATGAACCAGACTCATCCGCCAACACATCGCGGATGCAAAGGCCAGCACTCCGCTTCCAGACCACGGCAATGCCCCACCTGCCTCGTCTCACCACATCAAAGATCTCTTGTACAAAGATCCTTCCAAAGTCAAATCACTGACCGATGGGATTAGTGACATGACTCGAACGGTCAAACGCTCTTGTCAGAAATGCTCAATGCCAACATATGGATGGACAGATTGACACCTAGGATGGGACGAGTTCTGGAGATCTAGCAACACGTGTCTCTTCATCCAACGACCCTCCTCTTCCATCCTTGGTATAAATGCTTACTCCTTATGCCTGAAGAAAGAGAGAGATTTTTGGAATTCAATACACCACTACACTAAACACTTGATAATTATCTTCTCCCCCATATTGTTGGCACTGTCATACTTGAACTATTTCCCGGCGAGTGCCCTACCGCCGGTGAATTTTTCTTCTAGGGATAATGGTAATAGAGGTCCCAAATCTTTCAAAATTATGATCAAATGTCATCAAAGGCACGTTAGTTGATTAAAGTCAGTGTTTGACCATAATTTGACCAATTTTAAAATGGTAAAAAGTAAAAAAGAAAATTTGCATTGGAGATTCAAAACCTTTAAATATGTGCAACAGATGACGAGCCAGCTGTACATTACGTAAGGAACGAACGGAACAGGCGCCAGCAAACGAACCAGACTCATCCACCAACACATCGCGGATGCAAAGGTCAGCACTCCGCTTCCAGACCGCTGCGTCTCACCTCATCAAAGATCTCTTGTACAAAGATCCTTCCAAAGTCAAATCACTGACCGATGGGACTAGTGACATGACTCGAACGGTCAAACGCTCTTGTCAGAAATGCTCAATGCCAACATATGGATGGACAGATTGACACCTAGGATGGGACGAGTTCTGGAGATCTAGCAACACGTGTCTCTTCATCCAACGGCCCTCCTCTTCCATCCTTGGTATAAATGCTTCCTCCTTATGCCTGAAGAAAGAGAGAGATTTTTGGAATTCAATACACCACTACACCAAACACTTGAGAATTATCTTCTCCCCCATATTGTTGGCACTTTTATTATTGCACGTTCAATTACTTCCCGGCGAGTGTTCTACCGTTGGCGAACCCCTTTTGGTTGAATTTCAGACTGACTTGACCGTTGGAGTGCTTGCGGCCGCTCCCAACCCCTACGGGAAAGGCCACGAGCGACTGACGGCATGCCACGTGTGCAGGGATGAGTTGACTTGAAGACCTTCTTCTGTTTGCCACATATCGAAGCCATTTTTAGAGGTCAACAATTTTCATCCAAACATTTATCAATTGACAAAAACATTCACATTTCTCGATCCAATCAACCACACAACGTAATGCCTAACCCCTACCCCACTCATTGCTACTATTAATATTGATTTTGAAAAGAATTTATCTATCTTTATTTATTTCTCTCGAGTTCCTCAAAAGTTATTTGTTGTGAGAAAATGAAGTTGATGTAGATGGGACAAACCTCTTATAACTTGACTAGTGAGTATCACAATAGCCATCATCGCTAGAATTGTCGCCATAACATCATCATCCATCGTTGTCATCCCATTTCCTTCATCTCCGCTGACCCCTTTTTTCCCCATCCCATCAACTCCATTTCTTACCAATGGGTGGGGTTGAATGTGATAGGGGTTAACTGTTGGGGTTGTGTAGTTGTGTGGATCGGGAAGAAGACTAATTTTATCAACTAACAAATTTTTGGATGAAAATCACTAGATGTCTATCCAAAGCGCATTCATTAAAGTTTTCGAACATCCGTTGCACATTTTTAAAGATTTGTGACCTCCAATACGATTATCCCTTTCTTCCAAGTTCTAATACTAAAAAGTCAATATTAACCTTATTAAAACGTGCCTTCCATTTCGTAGTTTAAAACTTGAGACATTCTCAAACAACACTTGACGACCAAGGAAAAGTGGAAGGTCAAGATGGAAAACGAGTAGCAATAATGAGAGAGGTAAAAAATAGACTAAAGGGAAGAGTAGTGCAGTATGGTGGAGGGGGGTGAAGACACAAATGTAAACGTGAATAAGAAAATAGGGACATCAGTTTATTTACATAATTTTGTAACGTCTCTTCTTAATTTTTCCTCTTCAAATTAGTCCTCGAACAAATTTCTCAAAAGTCAAAAGAAGTGACACAATGGCTCAGATTAATAAATCGTAGCCGTCCAAAGTTGCTCAACCCTTACTCAACGTTTTGAAGCGCACTTTATATTTGAATTTTAAGACCGTTTTTTAATTCCCCATTCTCCTCTCTCTAAAAACACCCTTGTTCACAGTCACATTCTCTCTCTAAAAACACACTCATTCTCACTTTAAAAGACAGACTTTTTCCTCCAATTTATGCATTTGCAGATCCTCTAGTGTGTGTATATATATGTTTCTTTCTGGATCTGCAAATGCCTGTTAACTCGATCGGGTCAGTGGTCACCTGGGTTTCAAAATTTTCTCTTGTTGGATTAAAGCTCAATTTGGTAAGTACTATCCATTTTTTTTTATGTTTTTGTTGCATTTAAAAAATTGAGGTGTTCAATTTTCTGGGGCGTTGAATTTTTTCAGTGAATTTTTTTTCGGTTTCGTTTTTATTTTTTTGGGGAATAGTGTGGATTTGTGGTTGAAAGATGAAAACCCTTGTTGGGAATTACTTTAATTTGATATACTGAGTATTCAATAGGTGAATTTAAATTTAGGGTCAGCTAAATGTCATTTTCAGGTGAAAAGAGAAATATTTGAAATGTGTAAAGCTCATTTAGATAGGTGTTATTTGTCATTTTGGTTTTTGTTGCAAATTTAAAAAATTCAAAACGTTCAATTCCGTGAGGGCGCTGAAATTCGCAGCTGAATTTACGAGGAATTTCACGGATTTCGTGAACCCTTATTGAGAACTTTTAAATTTGATATAGAGAAGTTGCGATCTGTAAATTTGAATTGATGACCATTTTAATGTCGTTTTTGGGTGAGAAGAGTAACCTTTAATTTTTCAGGTTATGGTGTAGAAACTTCACTTCATTCAAATTACAATTCATTCACATTCTCTTATTTTGACTGTGATCTGATTTGCTTAAGTCCTGACTTTTGTCTTTGTCCAATTTTCTTCACTTATAGTCTTTGAGTTTATCCTGGAAAACGATAACACCTACCTCATCTGAGGTTAGCATATGATGCTTTGGAGAAGACGAACTCGAGAGAATTGCCAGTGTGTGGAAATTGGGGTTTGCAGATTTCCTTGTTTATCAAGCAAATATGGTAAGTGATAGGAGAAGCAACACGCCTTCAGATGCTACCAGAGATGGTGTAGAAAGAGTTCGACCTTTACATGGGTAAAGTCTTTTTATTTTTATAAATGTTTTGTTCGAAATCGGCTTAATTTATTTTCTTGTTTGTTTTTTTTTTCTTTTTGGGATGAAAAAATATCATATAATGTCAAAATTGTTAATCTTTAAGTTAAAATCCGCTGTCACATACCTGCACGGCCAGCTTCATGAATCAATGATCGTCTTGTCATGGTGTTTGTGCTACAATAGAGACATATAACATTATTTATCTTTTTCTGTAGGAGGACAAGTGGCCCCACAAGGCGTTCCACAAAGGGACAATGGACTCCAGAAGAGGTAAAAATTTGCATTTCCTTATAATTTCAGATGACGTATTTATATTAGCAACATGTGTCAATGCTTATTAATTTCTGTACGAATGAGAAGAAAGATCTTTATACTGGACCCCTGATTAGGTTAATGCTTTGATTGTGCTAACATGTTAAGAATCTATATTTATGCCTTTGTCTACTTGGGATAACTACATGATGTGCTGAGTAAATTGTATTTTACTACTATACACATTAATTGAAGAATTTCTCATGGAAAACTAAACTCATAATGTTCCAACTTTCCTGCATTCTGTTCTGGTGAACAGCCTCAATCGCCTGATAGCATGGATATTTACAGATGAAAAGTTTCTGATACTACGGGTCTTTGAATGGGTAATAGTAAATGGAGAGAAAAATCGATTTGGCCATGTATTGGTTGTTTAACCCTCTTTATAATTTTTTTTGGCTGGTTAAAATTTTAGGAGAACAATGATACCGCATTATTAATACCTTCGAGATGTTCAAGGATGAAAATGGATTCTAGTTTTAAGAAAGTCACCAATGAACCGTTTCTGATATTAAAGGCTCATTGCCTGGTAAAACAGTAAAGAACAAAGAATTGATTTGGGCCAAGTAATGTTTATAACTCTACAAATTTTGGGGGCTGGCTCACATTTGAATAGCAAAGTTAAAGAGAACAGTGATGTTACATGATTAATTCATGGGTGAGTTTACAAAGAACAAAATGTGCCAGGCTGTGTCTTTATTGTGGCACTTGAATGCTAGCGAAATGGATTTTATTAAGCTCTTCCTCTTCCCGAAATATAAAGAAAAAACTGCATTTTTTTTCAAAATGTTCCCCTTCTACTGTTCATTAGCTAGATGACAGAAGTTGACTGGTAAAAGTTAGCGTTTTAGTTATCAAGTGGTTTCTGAAACATGGCTTGGCCAGTACGCTTATGGTAAAATGTTTAGATTTTGTTTGTGGGTTCAAGTGATTCCATATTATTGAAGTTTAGTCATGTAGACATGATGAACAATCTATTCAATACCTAGATTTGGCATCTCACTCAGCTTGGCCTTCTGGTAGAAGGTTCCGCTGTATATTCTCCTAATGGTCCATATAAAGAAAAGCGCTTCACGGATTTGTTACCTCAGGGTTTCTTGTTGATTTACATTAGGTGACCATGTTTTGATCATCATATAATTAGAGATTTCAATATTATTTCAATTATGATCCTAACAAAATAGATATTCAATTTTTACAGGATGAGATACTGCGAATTGCTGTTCAACGTTTAAATGGGAAAAACTGGAAAAAGATAGGTAAAAGAACAAACTGAACTCTACTTGCTTCTTTGGAAACCACAAATAGGTTTTGAGCATTCTCTGGCCTTCTTTGTTTCTATTTGTAACACTGTCGACCTCCTTTTGCTAGTCTTCCTGCTGTCTTTTTCAATCTTGTAAATGCTATCTGTTTAGTCTATGCAAATATTAATAAGTGAGGGGGAGGTGGACAAACCTTTTATGGTCACAAGTACTAGTATTTTCTTTCCAATCATCTGCTGCCTATTAAGATCGCACTTTTTTGGCACAGCACATACTCCTTTTCATAAAAAATGTGTTAAATTTAAGATTATGTTGTGTAGCGGAGTGTTTCAAGGACCGAACCGACGTACAATGCTTACACAGATGGCAGAAAGTTCTTAATCCAGAACTTATCAAAGGTCCATGGTCGAAAGAGGTTAGGAAAATCTTGTTTATTGCTTCCTCCTGGATTTTATCTCCATTAGTTTTACATTTGTTTCATTTTGGTATCAACTATCTTAATTATCTTTTTATAGTTAAACCCAATTTAATACTCTATATGATCAGGAGGATGAAATAATAATTGATTTGGTGAACAAATATGGGCCAAAAAAGTGGTCTACCATTGCACAGCATCTTCCAGGACGTATTGGAAAGCAGTGTCGGGAAAGGTAAACATAGGAGTGTCCGTGTCTCTTTGGTTTCATATTACATATAGTTTTCTACTGTGAAATTGTTTTCAATAGCGATGCTTGAGATAATTTTTGTTTTAATTCTTTTCCCCCTTTTCCCATTTGAATTGTGCATTGACTGAGAAGTGATATCTTGTCACCAATATCGGCGAAGGTGAAAAATGAATGTCTTTTTAGGTAGCAGTTGTTCATCATCATAATAGCCTTCATTTGCTGATGCTATTCTTTTCCAGGTGGCACAATCATCTTAATCCCGGAATAAACAAAGAAGCTTGGACACAAGAAGAGGAATTGGCTTTGATTCGTGCCCATCAAATTTATGGAAACAAGTGGGCGGAGTTAACAAAATTCTTGCCTGGAAGGTATAGAATCATTTGCTGCAAGAAATAGATAAGAGCTCTAGTGTGTAATGTTGAATATTTCCTTTACTGGGTTCTGAGATATCTATCCATATATATATGACTATCAGGTCCGACAATGCTATAAAAAATCATTGGAACAGTTCTGTCAAAAAGAAATTGGACATGTTTTCGGCCTCAGGCTTACTTTCACAATTCCAAGGTCCACCTATTGTCGGCCATCCCAATCAATCAGCGGCATCTTCTTCTTCTAAGGTGCAACAGAGTAGTGAAGATGATAGTACCGTTAAAGATGGAGTAGAAGGGGAGGACGTTTCTGAATGCAGTCAGGGTTCAAATGTTGTTGGTTTTTCTCTATCTACCAATGACATGGTCAACACAATTGTACAGAATGGAGGGGACTGCAGAGTGTCTGAAGAACTGAGTCATGAAATAGATCCAAGCTCCAGTCTACTGCCATATTCTGAAGATTATCGTCCAGCTTTCCAAGAGACTACATTTTCCATGCCTGAAGTTCCTTGTGAAATAGGTGGCTCTACAAAATTTCTTGAACAGGATTTTTCTCTAGATTGGGGGACTCTTGCAGGAAAAGATTGGCAGCTTAATCCAAATGAGTTACCTGATATATCTTTGGTGGATCTGGCTCAAGAATCATCAGGACTGTTCATACAAGCTTTAATTGGCAACAACAATCATGAAACAGTACCCTTTCAACCTGAAACTTGTATGGACTTGAGTGCTTCTACTTCCATGGCAAATGTGACTGTCAGTACTGATACACCTAATCAAATAGTTAATTCAGATTGCATAATGATGTACCCTGAGCCTGGACATGATGGATGTTGTCCCTCTAAGAGTGTTGTTAACTGTATTGATGGGCCTACAGATTCATCACATTACCAGTCTTCAAATTTTCAGATCCCTGAAAATGGAACTTTTGCTTCACAATCATGCTGTTCTATGAGGTCTGATATGATGGGAACGTCATTTAGCCTACCTCCCCCAGTTTCTACACAACCTCCTCCTAATGATGGTTCACTCATTTTTCTTATCGATTCAAATCAGTTCATTGATTCCTCACATGGAAACGCAGAGCAGGGATCTGTTCAAAGTATGCAGAATGGCTTTGTTTATGCTAATGAGTCTGGCTTTTTTCCTCGTGATGATGGATCTGATAGCATGGGTGTGAAAGAGCAACAAGAAGAGGCAAAAGATGTGCCAAAATTAGTTCCTGTTAATGATTTTGGCTCAGCACTAATGAATGACATTCAAAGTGATTCATCCTTGGATAAAGATCCAGTTGTAACAGATGAACACAGGGATTCAGGAGTTCTATTCTATGAGCCTCCTCGTTTTCCAAGTTTAGATATTCCATTCTTCAGTTGTGATCTTATACAATCTGGCGCTGATATGCAGCAAGAGTACAGTCCACTTGGCATCCGCCAGCTGATGATATCTTCCATGACTCCATTCAAGTTGTGGGACTCACCATCCAGGGATAATAGTCCAGACGCTGTTCTGAAAAGTGCTGCCAAAACCTTTACAGGGACGCCATCTATACTGAAGAAAAGACACCGTGATTTGGTGTCTCCTTTGTCAGAAAAGAGAGATGAAAAGAAGCTTGAAAGTGGTTTAAAGCATGAATCATTTTCCAACTTGACCAGTGACTTTTCTCGATTGGGGGTTATGTTTGACGAGTGTGTAGACCAGAAAGGGTCAATAATGGTATTATCACCAGAAGACAAAAGAAATTGTGAAGCCCATTGTGTAGAAAAAGAAAATATGGACCCTACCTTTGCAAAGGGGAAACAAGAGGGCAATGGAAGCATGGAAATTTCAGAAGGCAGAATGATAGAGAAACAGTTCAACAGCAGTGAGGCTTTGAAAGCTATTACGGGTGTCAATAATAAGGCTGGAGGCAATGATGCAGTGGAAACTGTGAGTACCTCTTCATTTTCTTCTCAACCAGGATGGGTAATGGCATGATTGTGGAGGTCTTTACCTCTAGCAAAATAGAAATAATAGGAAAATATACAGTTTCTTCTCCAAATTTTCAGTGAAATAAATTAGAAAAGGAAAAGTTAAAAGCATACTATGGTCCAAAACTTTTTCTAAATATTTTATAACTTGGAAATTTTACTTATTTGTTTTGTAAAATTCTTGCTTCTATGTCGCTTTTCTATTCTAAAGCTTTTAGATGCATAGGCTTCTATATATATGTAGTAATATAGAGAAGTCTTATAATCAGATATTTTTTTGCGTTTTATGAAATTGTTTAGTAGAACTTTTTTTATTCAGGAAACGAGGCTTACGTCTTACCTTAAATACTGAATGACAGAAAAACTACTCAGTTAAAGAGAGCCTTTCCTCCATTTGTTACCTCGGTCTAATCTGGTCTTTATCTTATTTTTCCTTTATGATAGGTAAAAGAGTTAAATGGAATCCTTGTTGAACATGATACAAATGACTTGCTATTCTTCTCTCCTGATCGTTTTGGAATTAAGAGTGATAGTTTAAGTGCTAAGGCTCTTGGAAATAAATTATCTAGAAGACTAGATTCTGCATCAAAACATGTAGCTATTTTATCTTCGTCAGAGATTCCCTCTCTGTCTGTTGTTTACTCTCCTCGGATGTGTGCCAAGAAGGATGGGACTAAGTTGGCAATAACTTCATCTCTACCATCAAGTTCTTTGGAGAATAAGGATGAAAATTCTAGCAAAGGTGTACATATTGAAAACAAAAGCACGTAAGTTACTGCAGCACCATACTTCTGGTAATTCTGTTTTTATCTATTGTATTTGTTAATTGCCAAGATCTTTTCTTTTGTGATTCCAATTTGTTTCCTCTGTTTCTGTTTCTTTTTTTCCTTTTTTCTTTTTCTAGATTTGAAGGCACACCTTTCAAAATAAATATTGAATCTCCATCAGCTTGGAGATCCCCTTGGTTCATAAATTCTTTTCTACCAGGCCCCAGAGTAGATACTGATATAACAATTGAGGTATTAGAAATTCTGATGCTCAAGTAATTTGTTTGGACTTTGCATAATCATTTTCGGGAGAAATTTCATATTTTGCTTCTTTCATATCTCATAATTGGAACATTTTAGGACATTGGCTATTTTATGAGCCCGGGGGACCAAGGTTATGATGCCATTGGGTTAATGAAGCAGTTAGGTGAGCAGACTGCTTCTGCATTTGCAGATGCCCAAGAAATTTTGGGTGATGAAACTCCTGAAACAATAATGAAAGGGAAATGCATTAAAAACCGGGAAGCAGATAAAGAGAACGTTGGCAGTCCAAATTGCCAGACAGCATATCGTTCTCTCTCGACTTCAAATGTACTGGTATGATAATCATGAACTGCTATTTTTAATCAACTTTTATTTCTCTGGTTCCAGATTGTGCGAAAGTAGGTTCCAATCATGATTACTCATTGAGCTGTTGGAGGATCTATCTTGAGCTTTTTAGATTCATTCGAGCATGTTTGGGCAAGCTTCATAGCAAAAGTTACTTTCAAGTAGCTTTTTGTTTTAAAACACGTTTTAATCAATTTAAAAATACTAGTTTTAAAAGTTACTTGTTGACTTATAAGTAAGAGTTTTAAGCTTAGCCAAACGTGTTCTTTTACATGTTTTGAATATATCTTTTGAACAGTGCAAAGTGGAAAACCATTTCTACTGTAGCAAAAAACATATGAATTTGTCTTTAGATCTCTCGGAAGAACTTGCTTTCACATCCAAATACTTTGTATAAAAATTTTATTTGGGTGAAATCTCAGCAATTTTTTGTTTAAATCTATTAGCCAGCCATTCCATGTATTTCATATAAATTACTTATTTAAGGAACCTATACAGACGGAGAGGCGCACGCTTGATTTTAGCGAATGTGAGACACCCCAAAAGGAAACTGGAAACTTCTCAAGCAGCATCAGTTCCTCCAGCCCCTCTTCATATCTGTTGAAAAGTTGCAGGTAGGCAGGCAGGCATATAAAGTTACATGCTGTAAAATTCAAGAGGCTGTATATTTGTATCAATTATATGAATTTGATCGATTCTATTATACAATTGTTGTTGAAAAATATGATATCTTATTCTCGTTGAAAAACATGGATTTATTTTAATCAATTATATAGGCTCTTTTCCTGCTCTGTTGTCAAAAACTTTGTATTGTTGGACACACTACATTTTTAGTTTTCTAAAGTCTTTATACCAGAACATTAATATTTAATGCTTTAGGGTGTGATCTTCGTTTGTCTCTCTCTTTCTCTGTTAATGGGCATGTGCAAATGTTTATTTTCTTTTGAAAGTTTAACTGGTTCGGGGTTCGGCCAGGTGCTTGAACGCCCATGATAGATGAAACCAGCGTAGTTTTTGCTTCTGATTCCTAAATTCAATCATGAATCTTTTCATGTGACATTAGATTAAAAGGGAGATCCCTTATGCATAGATGGGTACAACGCCCTTTATTTTCTAAAGACCTGTTTAATTCGATTGATCGATGATGAATGGCACTGCAGCATTCCTGCTACAAACTCTGAGCTAACGTCCCTAGCTTTTCGGTATTTAGATTTTTCACAATTTAGTTCGCACCTTGATCTTGTTGAATTGCATCACGACTCAGATATACAAGGTTGAAGTCTTGTTACTTTTCCTGTTGCCCTTTAGCCCGATCTCTTGGATTCTGACCCTTGCTGGAGGCTCCTAAAACCTATTTCTGTTGGTCGAGCTTTTGTTTAGGATTATGCTTGGTTATAACATTCTTGCACTGTGTTGCTCCCTCCCCACCACCACGGCCACCGTCTCTTGCATCATTTACGTCGAGGCTGATACTTGAAATAATTTTTGCATTGGACCCACAAATGCTTCTGCAGGGTCCCAAATGAATTGGCTTATTTCATAAGGCCTGGTTCTTTGAAAGATGAGTGTTGATACAGAAAAAAAAATACTTACAGAAAGCTTACAGACACACACATGGGGTGGCCACATTTTTTCCGGACAATTTTTAATTCACATGGGGCCCACCCCAATGTGAGCGTCTGTAAACATTCTGTAAAAAATGTTTTTGTACACATCATTTTCCCGGAAAGATCTATCTCTATCTGGTATTACATGGTTCCACTTAGCAAGAATTTCGAATAATTCTTTGGGAACAATACATAAATCGTACATATTAAAATCACATTTCAAAATTAACAAATTTGTTAAATTATTTCAAAATTCAGTTATGAATTTCAATTAAATATATATAATTAATTATCCCTACCTTACCCCACGGTCACCCCCTATCCCACCTCACCAAACCAAAAATTTCCAAAAATCCAAATATGAAAATCACACCACCCCATGGACCCACCCCACCCCATCTTCCAAAAAATTTCCATAAATTAAAAACTGGAAATCACACCCCCAATTCATGAATCCACCTACCTTGCAAAAAAATTAAAAATATCAAGTCTCGTCCGTGACTAATTGTGACCAAATTTATATTCAGCGTGACTGTCTGTGATCAAGTCACAATCAATTACAATTAACACAGAATTGGTCACGACGACTCATAATCGGTCACAATTAACACAAAATTGGTCATAACCAGTCACAGTTAACACGGAATTGATCACAATCAGTCACAATAAAACACATATTTGGTCACAAATGATCACCACAAACAAATCCGCTTACATACGAACAAGTACCACAATCCACCACCAGTAATTACCACCATCACCTCCAATGCACCATCACTACCACCTTAAACTCAAACTTACGACCAACACCATCAAGAAAATCAGAAAGACCAACTTCGATCAAACATAGACAAAATATGGTGGCATACAATTACGGCTTATGCTATGAAGTATTGCAATAACATCTCCACCAC